AAGCTTGGCTGAAAAGAAAAGGCAGGTCAGGGTCAATCATATAAAATGAATGACTAATCAATTTGTGGAAGAAATTGAGGAAGTAAATATTGCTTTTATATGTGGGTTGTTAGCTATCAGGGCAGGGCGTGAGGCAACCGTTCTTTCCTTCTTTCACGGGAAACACAGATGGGAACTTTTATATCTGCTTGTGGATAATAGAGTAAGCTTGGCTCAATAATTAGACTCAACAACATGCCAGGGTAGTCAGTGCATAAATGTAATTATTAAAAAGACTTTTCTATCCCAAATATGCTCAGAAATTTATTCAACATCCTAAAAAGACCATTTTAAAAAATCAGCAGAAAATTGAAAATAGTAACATTGAAAATACACAGAACAAACAGTTGATAAATGCAGTTTTGAACTTGGTTCAGATCTATAAGGAAATAAAACAACAGGATCTTTCCATCTGCAAGTGGATTTTTTTGATGACAGATGGGCATTAGCATGAAGAACAGTTAGTTGACGTTCTATGAAGTTAACAGAAAAACAGAGTTGGAAGGGACCTTAGAGCAGGGCTTTTCAACCTTTTCACCCATTGTACCACTTTTAGGATATGGCAACATCCGAGTACCACCCAAAAAAAAAAAAAAAAAAAGGACAAAAGCGATAAAAGTACAGGTAGTCCTCGACTTACAACAGTTCGCTTAGTGACTGTTCAAAGTTACAATGGCACTGAAAAAAGTGCCCCCCAAGACACAGCCGAACAAGACACCTGCCTGCCCGCCCGGTGGCGCTCTTCCTCCTATCCGAGATTTTCATTGTTGTGAGCATTTCTGTTGAGGATTGGCAGCGGGGGCGGGGTAAGGGGTTTTTTGGTTTTTATCCCCCCCCCCCGTCTGCTGGGTGGATGCAGCAGGTTTTGGTCATTTCACATGACCCTGGGACACTGTGACCGTCATAAATATGAATCAGTTGCCAAGCATCTGAGTGTAAATCACAAGACCCTGGAGATGCTGCAACATTCCAGCTGATCGGCGCTTCTTCTGGGCTCAGCAGAAGCACCAGGATCAGTGCTGCTTTCCAGCTGGAGCCTGGCGCTGATCCTGGCGCTTCCGCTGAGCCCTGACAGCCCTGCAGCTCCAGCCATCTCTCACTCAGGCTTGTGCGGTGCTGCCATCGGATCAGCTCATTCCCCTCCCCCGCTACCACTTTTCTAGGATGGTCGCGTACCACCTGCCAGGTGCCAATGTACCACAGGTGGTACCCGTACCACTGGTTGAAAAGCCCTGCTTTAGAGGTCTTCTAGTCCAACCCCCTGCTCAGGCAGGAAGCCCTATAACATTTCTAACAGATGGTTGTCCAATCTCTTCTTATAAATTTCCAGTGATGGAGCATCCACAACTTCTGGAGGCAAGTCGTTCCACCAACAAGCAAAATAAATGGGGGAAACTGCATTTACTTCACTTAATAAGTGCAGTGATTTGCTTTAAAATGTGGCAAAAAAGATAATAAAATCAAGTCCAACTTCCTTAACAGCCACTTTAGTTAGCAATGGAAATTCTGATCCCAATTGTGGTTATAAGTCAAGGACTACCTATGCAGCAGTATTGGTTTCAACAACACAGTAAAATATAGAAATTTGTGTCCAACACACGCTAAGCCAAACATAAATAAATCCAGATTCTCAGTACACCCGGGTTAATTATTACCCTGCATTGGCACATTGTTTATGACCATCCTTGAATTTATCTGTAAAAGGAGAAACACATCCCCAAATAATCAGATTCTCATTCATCCAGTGTAACATTAATTTTAAATTCTCGTTTGCAGCATCCCTGCGCACTGTTTAAAATCAACATTAAAAACTGTATGCATTTTAAATGACTGTAACATAAATAGTCTGTTGTTAATATCTTTTTTTGTTAACTCCAGCAATATAAATATTTTTTGCTCAGTTTCTTTCAGAAAGTGCTAATTTCAAAGTACAATTCCTCTGTTTTGAATCTTACTGAGATTCAGGAAGTGCGGACAGCTTGATTACATCTGCCTTCATTTGAATCAGATTAAATTTCCACTTTCCCCTCCTCTCTGGCAAAAAAACCCAAAACTCAAAAACAATTGAGAATTGAATTAATTTACACATATGTAATCAACTCCAATGACAAATTAAATTGAAGTGAGGGAGAACAACCCCCAATAATAAGAAACTTCTTCTTTCTTTCATTATTTTATGAACCCCATATTAAAAAAGGCTTTGATTCTCTACAACAGGGGTGAGGAACGATGGCTCTTTTATGACTTGTGGACTTCAACTCCCAGAATTCCTGAGCCAAGCATGGTGGCTCAGGAATTCTGGGAGTTGAAGTCCACAAGTCATAAAGGACCATCATTCCTCACCTCTGCTCTAGAATTAAGTGCAGTTTCAGAATTAAAAGACATCAGGCAGTGCTATGAAAGAATAATCTAAAAGGGAGAGCAAGAGGGCAAATGGTTAAAATATCGGAACAAAAACCAGCCTATGAAAGCTAACAGGAGAAATGGATAGTGCCAGCTCAGAAATGAATAATTTGAATTAACTATAATCATACAAAAGCGCAAAATAGTGTTTCCAAATGTCATATATCCTGAGGCTGAAACATGGCATGACACATCAGGACCCTGAGGTGTTTGTGAGCTGTGGTGAAAAAAAGTCAAAATGGCCGCCGTGCTAAGTGCACTTATAAATGGGGGAAGCTTCGACTACAATGTCACGCTGGCCATCTTGACTTTTTTGACCATCCTGCACTCAGCCCTGGAGAGACAGATAAAAATTGAAAGTTTAATTGTACAGAGGCAAGTCTCTATCACCGATTACTGTCCTGTTAAATGAGTGCATCATAAAGGCACTTGGGAAATAGCACACATACAGACACACCTGTGTTTGGCAAGAGTGGCCAAACACACTAAAATCAATTTTTTACATTCAATTTTCAAATGTAACTACCACCTCCACCCAAAGATTGGGGGGACTTCTGTATTATTCACAACGTAGTAGGTGTAGATAGGTACAGGTAGTCCTCGACTTACAATCACTTGTTTAGTGACCGTTCAAAGTTACAATAGCACTGAAAAAAGTGACACGATCATTTTTCACATTTATAACCATTGCAGCATCCCCGTGGTCACATGATCAAAATTCAGACACTTGGCAACTGACTCATATTTATGACAGTTGCAGTGTCTTTTTGGGACCTATTGACAAGCAAAGTCAATGGGGAAGCTAGATTCACTTAACAATTGTGTTACTAATGTTAAAACTGCAATGATTCACTTAATAATTGTGGCAAGAAAGGTTGTAAAATGGGGCAAAATTCGCTTAACAACTCTCTTGCTTAGCAACAGAAATGTTGGGGGTCAATTGTGGTCATAAGCTGAGGACTATCTGTAGTCCACATGTATCTGTAGCAATCCTAGACAGAGACATGGGGCTTGAATATGAGGTTGGGGATGAATGAAAAAAAATGTTTTTCTCCTGCTCTGAATATCATGGGCTAGATCCAAACTTGATTATGCTTGATCACCCCTGAAATTAAAGGGATCCAGCAACTAAGCATGTTTCAGTAGGACCATAGCTATCATGCTATTACTGGTGTTGGTAGAAGCCACAGTGACACTACATCTATCACATCATTATCCAAACTCATTGTTTGCATCATTTATGTTATGATGTCATATTTGCAACTCTCCTTTTGTGGAGATCCATGGGTTCCAGGAACAGCTGGGAGTCAAATTATGGGACTCAACACACATATGTAAACTATGATCATCTTGTCCTCCTGCTTTGAAAATGGGAGAGAATTGGCTACTTGTAAAATTTATACAGGCTACATACAGTAACTCTGAGCCATAAACTTTGGTTTACCCACACAAGAGCAGAGGATACAGAATAACAGAGTTGGAAGGCACCTTGGAGATCTTCTAGACCAACCTCCTGCTCAGGCAGGAAAAACTATACCATTTCAGACGAATGGTTATTCAATTTCTTCTTGAAAACTTCCAGTGTTGGAGCATCCACAACTTCTGGAGGCAAGTTGTTCCACTGGTTAGTTATTCTAAAAATTCATACCTGCGTTAGGCTTTAATGAAACAAATCATGACTGGTTTAGCATCACTTGTGAACTCAATCACTATCACCTGGGCTTCATGGCTAGGTATTATGTGTGAACAATCCCACTAAGACTTGTTGAGAAATCACAGTTAAAGTAAACCATACTTATGGCACCAGGTCAGGGGTCTTCAAACTTGGCCCTTTTATGACTTGTGGACTTCAACTCCCAGAATTCCTCAGCATGCTGGCTGAGGAATTCTGGGAGTTGAAGTCCACAAGTCATAAAAGGGCCAAGTTTGAAGACCCCTGCACTAGATGAAATATGAGGTCACATATACAAGGTACCTGGATTACATGCTGGCATATCTGTGCACTGTGGTAGATAAGAAGCTTTTAAATCACCGGGATGTGTGGGGGGAGGTGCGGAATGGGGGGGCTGATTTTTGGAAACAAGAAACTAGAACAGGTCCTATGCTTATTCTGTAACACAGGATAATGTTCTTTCGGTCCTTCCTTCACAAGAACCCATAACCAATGGGCTCTTAGGAGAAAATATTTGTTGCTTCTCATCCCATGAGTTTAAAAGTGTTTATGTCAGGTTTTTCTTGGTCCCTTTGTTCTGCCAAAATTAAAAAGGAAGCGGGGGAAAATAAAAAAACGGAATATGGATTAATATCCCAGGAACAGTTGCATCTGTTATTAGATTCTGTTCCTTCTTTTTAAGCCAACATTAGGCCGGGGGGGGGATGTTCCAAAGGATTTATAAAGGTTGGGCTTAAACCAAGCTTACGGTTCTCAGGAATGTTTGATTAAAACCCTGGTTCTTTTGTCTTCAGGGTGAAAAGTCAAGGAAAAGCTACGGGGACCTCCACCCTTCCTGCAGGCCCCGTCTTCTGGGGCCGTGGGGCTTCAACCTTTCAGCGCAAGATTACGGAAGCAATAAAGATTTGGCTAATCGCATCCAGAACCATTTCTTGGTGGCTGGGTTTGTGTAGTCACAGACAGTGATGAATCTTAAGATGCTCGGGAACTCGTTCTTCATGTTTTTGCATTTAACCGGGATCAGACGTTTGAGACGGGCACCTGCCGGAGGAAGCCGAGACGGGAGAGTGAATTAACCTGACATGAACTGTGGTCCCAAGCAAGAGGCATGATGGCCACAGCATTTTCCCAACTGATGTTCTGAGCCACGCCGCCCATCCCATGGCAGTCCAATACAGGTAATCCTCGACTTACAGCTATTTGTTTAGCGACTGTTCAAAGGTACTACTGAAAAAAAGCGACTTATGACTACTTTGCACACTTACGACCGTTGCAGCCTCCCCCGTGGTTCTGACAGGCAAAGTCAACAGGGGAAACCAGATCCACTGAATAACCATGTTACTATCTTAACAACTGCAGTGACTCACTTAACAACTGTGGCAAGAAAGGTTGTAAAATGGGGCAAAACCCACTTAACAACTCTCTTGCTTAGCAACAGAAATGTTGGGGGTCAACTGTAGTCATAAGCTGAGGACTATCTGTAGTCCACATGTATCTGTAGCAATCCTAGACAGAGACATGGGGCTTGAATATGAGGTTGGGGATAAATGAAAAAAATGTTTTTCTCCTGCTCTGAATATCATGGGCTAGATCCAAACTTGATTATGCTTGATCACCCCTGAAATTAAAGGGATCCAGCAACTAAGCATGTTTCAGTAGGACCATAGCTATCATGTTATCACTGATGTTAGTAGAAGCCACAGTGACACTACACCTATCACATCATTATCCAAACTCATTGTTTGCATCATTTGTGTTATGATGTCATATTTGCAACTCTCCTTTTGTGGAGACCCATGGGTTCCAGGAACAGCTGGGAGTCAAATTATGGGACTCAACACACATATGTAAACTATGGTCATCTTGTCCTCCTGCTTTGAAAATGGGAGAGAATTGGCTACTTGTAAAATTTATACAGGCTACATACAGAAACTCCCCCGTGGTCATGTGACCAACATCCAGATGCTTGGCAAGTGGCATGCATTTATAACAGTCGTGTGATCCCCTTTTGCGACCTTCTGACAGGCAAAGTCAACAGGGGAAACCAGATCCACTGAATATCTTAACAACTGCAGTGACTCACTTAACAACTGTGGCAAGAACAGTCGTAAAGTGGGGAAAACTCACTCAACAACAGTCTTGCTTAGCAACGGAAATTTGGGGGCTTCGTTTTAGTTCATAAGTCGGGGGCTACTTGAATGTCTGCGAGGTGGCACGGCCTGACTGACCACGGACGTTGTCTTACCTGGGGAAAGACTGAGAGCGAACTTGGTCTGGAAGTCACATTCCTCACTCTGAAGGTAATCGTCCGAGATGACCACCACCATCCTCCGACACCTGTAGTTACACACAGAACCGGAAAACACGTTAGGGACGAGCTTCTTTCCCCGTCTTGGTTTGGCACAGCAACCAAACAGGACAGGGACAGACTTCAGAGGATAATTAGGACTGCAGAAAACACAATGGCTGGCAGCCTGCCTTCCATTGAGGATCTGTATACTACAAGGGTCAGAAAGAGGGCTGTGAAAATATCTACAGACCCCTCACATCCTGGACATAAAGTGTTTCAACTTCTTCCCTCAAGACGATGTTATGGGACAGTGCACACCAGAACAACTAGACACAAGGATAGTTTTTGCCCCCATGCCATCACTCTGCTACACAACTAATTCCCACAACACTGTCTTATGCCTTAGGGCAGAGGTCTTCAAACTTGGCCCTTTTATGCCTGGCTGAGGAATTCTGGGAGTTGAAGTCCACAAGCAGGAGTCTTCACATTGGGCCCCTTTTATGATTTGTAGACTTCAACTCCCAGAATTCCTCAGCCGGCTGGGAGTTGAAGTCCACAAGTCATAAAATGGCCAAGTTTGAAGACACCTGCCCTAGGATATCAAATATCCTGGTAGAGCTGTATTATTGTTATATTTCTCATCTTTCCTTATTTCCTATTCCTTTAGCATTTTATGACTATCACTGTGCTGTTTCTTTCTTATGATTCTTGCTGATTGCTTTTATTTAGCATCTTATGACTGTCACTGGGTGTTGTATCTCATAATTTATGCTGATTGTATTTTATGATTATAACCATGATTTATTACTTGTTGCTTGTATGTACAATGAGGGCTGGTGCACCGGAGACAAATTCCTTGTGTGTCTAATCACACTTGGCCAATGAAGAATATTCTATTAATTAGGAGCTGAATAGGCACTATTGACTGAATAAAGAGTCCTCGATTTACCGTTCTTTTAGCAACTGTTCAGAGTTCACAACAGCACTCAAAAAAGTGATTTATGGCCACGGTTTTTCACCTAACAACTGCCGCAGTTCTCTTCTCCCAGTGCTAACCTGCTCGTCTTACCACCTCCATCCCCCCCCCAAATGAACACAATCCATGTTTTAATTCCAGTTCCTCCTCTATCTCAGGGCTTTTCAATCAGTGGTACGGGTACCACCTGTGATACATTGGCACCTGGCAGGTGGTACACAACCATCCTAGAAAAGTGGTAGCGGGGGAGGGGAATGAGCTGAACTGGTGGCAGCACCGCACAAGCCTGAGCGAGAGACGGCTGGAGCTGCAGGGCTGTCAGGGCTCAGCGGAAGCGCCAGGATCAGCACTTCTTTGGGTTGTAAGGGCTCAGTGGAAGCGCCAGGATCAGCGCCAGGCTCCAGCTGGAGCTCGGCATTGATCCTGGCGCTTCTGCTGAGCCCTGAAGAAGCACCAATCAGCTGGAAAGCAGCACTGATCCTGGTGCTTCTGCTGAGCCCAGAAGAAGCGCCAGGATCAGCTGGAATGTTGCAGCCTCTCCAGGGTCTTGTGATTTACACTCAGATGCTTGGCAACTGATTCATATTTATGACGGTCACAGTGTCCCAGGGTCATGTGAAGTGACCAAATCCTGCTGCAACCACCCAGCAGACGGGGGGAATAAAAACCAAACACCCCCACCCCACCCCCGCTGCCAATCCTCAACAGAAATGCTCACAACAATGAAAACAGGAGGAAGAGCGCTGCCGGGCGGGCAGGCAGGTGTCTTCTTGGCTGTGCCTTGGGGGGCACTTTTTTCAGTGCCACTGTAACTTCAAACAGTCATTAAGCGAACTGTTGTAAGTCGAGGACTACCTGTACTTTATCACTTTTTTCCTTTTTTTTTTTTTTTGGTCATCAAGTTTTTGACACCTTTCTAGGCGACTGGTGGTACTCGGATGTTGCCATATCCTAAAAGTGGTACAATGAGTGAAAAGGTTGAAAAGCCCTGCTCTATCTCCTCTTTGGTCAATTTAAGCTTTTTTTTTCAGAGGTGCTCCTAAACTCACCTCCTCTCAATCAACTCGCTGGTGATGGACCACACGCAGGTGCCTGGCAGGACATCTCGATCAAAGACACACAGCTTCAGCTTATGCTCTGCCTGCTCCAGTTCTTGGATCATCTCCTGCACAAAAGGAATGTCGTTCTGGCAGTAACAGATGAAGGCATCGAACAGCTCAGGGGTATGCCCTAGAAAAGGAAATTAAAAAAAGAAGAAAGGAAAGGAAACAAACAAGATTGTTACTGAGCACCAGCCTTAGTTTAAGCCACCATAGATAGATACAGCAGTGGCCAAAATTGTGGAAACCTTTTGGGAAAGGTGTATTTTTGAGGTTTGATGGCTAATAACACCACTTTGCTTTTTGGAGTAGTACCATAAAATTATATATCAATGGAAAGATAATTTAATCAAGAATGTAATGCAACAAAGTTTGTTCAATTATCTGTACTGTCTTCTATGAAAGGTTATAGCCAAATAACCAGAAAAAGGAAGCACAACTTGCTTAGGTTGATATCAGGTAGCTTTCCTTCATCTGATTGTAGCCAATGAGCGTGAGTGGTTAGAGAGCCAATCAGGTGTCATCTTGTTTTGGCAATGAGCCAATCAGATCACAGTAGGATTCAATTATTGATGTCTTGTATTGAAGCTGAGAGGAGGACATTTGTCAGTGTGTTATGTGTTTGCTGTCAAGTTGGTTGGGTTTTTTTGTGTTCTTTCATTTAGTGAGCTTGTAAAACGTAATAAAATTAAAGTAATGGTGCAAAGAGTTGACTGGTTGCCCAGAAAGCAATGTAAAATAGCATTATTAAGTGAACAAGGCTACCGCTATAAAGAAATTAGAAGAAAAATTGGTGGAAACTTAACCAAAGATGGCATTTCTATTGTACACTTTTCCCAAAAGGTTTCCACAGTTTTGGCCACTACTGTAGATAGATAGATAACTTTTATTGTCGTTTTTTTCCCCTGTGGGCACAATGGCACACATTAAAAATGAAATTTAGTTGCTTCCTCCCAAAGTGTACACATACATAACACACATTTAAAACATCCTATATACAACATATGTACAGATCTACACTCTTACATATAAGTAACATTAATCACTGTCTATCTTGAATATGTAACAGAAGGAGGAAGCTTGACAGTTCACAAGGTTAATACTGTATGGAACAAAGCTGAATCTGGATGTTCTGCTTCGGATACCACGGAGCCCCCTCCTCCCAGATGCCAATTTGTGCGGCATGATGTCATCCTGCCAATCGTGTAGAGGTAGTCCTCGTCTTACAAGCTGTTAAGTGAGTTTTGTCCCATTTTACGACCCTTCTTGTCAAAGAGATTAAGTGAATCACTGCAGTTCTTAAGTTAGTAACACGGTTGTTGAGTGAATCTGGTTTCCTCATTGATTTTGCTTATCAGGTCGCAAAAGGGGATCACGTGACCCTGGGACACTGCAACCGTCATAAATACGAATCAGTTGCCAAGAGTCGGAATTTTGAATTTTGGAGAGTATTTTGCACAAAGTCTTGAGCTTCTGAAGGAAAGGCAGGATATAAGACTGGCAAAGAAGTAAAGAATGTGGTCTATTAAGAGTGTAGTACAAATCCAGTTTGTATGAACTATGGTTTATTCATGAAACCAGGATTAAAATAATCATGGCTTACCTATGCCTCCCCTCAGTTCTCTAAAAATGATACAAAACACCATAACCAACTCTGGTCATTCAAATTCTGAGGGGATAGCGCAGGCATGTCAAACTGCTGGCCTGCGGGCCGGATGCGTCACGCTGAAAGCGCGCCCACCCCATTTGTTAAGTGAATTTTGCCCCATTTTCACGACCTTTCTTGTGAGTGAATCACTGTAGGTGTTAAGTTAAGAACACGGTTGATAAGTGAATCTCACCTCCCCACTGATTTTGCTTGTCAGAAGGTTGCAAAAGGGGATCACGTGACCCCTGGACACTGCAACGGTCATAAATATAAGCCAGTTACCAAATGTCTGGATTTTGATCACGTGATGCTGCAACAGTCGTGTGAAAAGCAGCCGTGTCACTTTTTTCAGTGCTGTTGTAACTTTGAACAGTCACTAAATGACTGTACGTGTATTAAAATGATTTAAAGATCTGACGGCCCATTTACCAAGGGGGTCATCCTGAGTGGTGATGCCCTGCATTTCAGTTGCCCTCGGAAAGCTACTGTCCACTGCTGGGACTTGAACCGGTCGCTCCGATTCTTCCTGTTGCTTCTTCTGCAGATATTTCTTACAGTCCTCCTCTGGAAACAGAAGAAAGACATGGAAATAAACAACTTTCAGAAAGCAGGACTGGAACCATCCATAAATTCGGGGAAGTGAGAGGGGATGGGGAATAGTTAACGGGGACAAGCTCCCATGGCATTCTCTACGTCAGGGGTCCCCAATCCTGGGTTGCAGCCCACGACCGGAATCAACCACGCAAGTGGCTGGCCGGAGTGTGCAGGTGTGTAACTCAACTTGTGCAAGCAGCAGGCTGGAGAGGATTTGCGCATGTGCATGCTGACCCACCGCTGGCTCAAAAGCTGCATGCACACGAGTGCGCGTGTGTGTCAGTCCGTTGCTTGCACAGCCTAGTTCCCCCCCCCAAGCAGGGCTCCAAACCCCAAAGGTTGGGGAACCCTGGTCTCAATCAGGGATCCCTAATCTCTTCAGTTCGACCCTTCATGAAATTTCAGATTGTCCACTGAACCCCGCCAAAGCATATATTATCTGAAAATAATTTAAGAAATACTATTTGAATGAATAATCCTATGAATAATAATACAATTGGCAGCTGTGATGGCACATAGTTGTCTATATAACAACAACAACAACAACAACAACAACAACAACAACAACAACAATAATAATAATAATAATAATAATAATAATAATAATAATAATAATAATAATAATAATAATAATAATAATAAAGTTGGAAGGGACTTTGGAGATCATCTAGTCCAACTCCTTGCTCAGGCAGGAAACCCTATACCATTTCAGACAAATGGCTGTCCAATCTCTTCTTAAAAACTTGCAGTGTTGGAGCATTCACCACTTCTGGAGGCAGGTTGTTCCACTGGTTAATTGTTCTCACTGTCAGGAAGTATCTCCTTAGTTCTAGGTTGCTTCTCTCCTTGATTAGTTTCCACCCGTTGCTTCTTGTCCTGCCTTCAGGTGCTTTGGAGAATAGCTTGACTCCCTCTTCTTTGGGGCAGCCCCTGAGATACTGGAAGACTGCTATCATGTCACCCCTAGTCCTTCTCTTCATTAAGCTAGACATACCCAATTCCAGCAACCGTTCCTTATATGCTTTAGCCTCCAGTCCCCTAATCATCTTTGTTGCTCTTCTCTGTATTCTTTCTAGAGTCTCAACATCTTTTTTACATCGTGGTGACCAAAACTGGATGCATTATTCCAAGTGTGGCCTTACCAAGGCATTGTAAAGTGGTATTAACACTTCATGTGATCTTGATTCTATCCCTGTTAATGCAGTCCAGCACTGTGTTGGCCTTTTTGACAGCTGCAGCACACTGCTGGCTCATATTTAAGTGATTGTATAGAGGTAGTTCTTGATAAACAACAGTTCATTTAGTGACTGTCGAAAGTTACAATGGAACTGAAAAGAGTGATTTATGATTGTTTTTTCACTTATGACCGTTGCAGCATCCCCATAGTCATGTGATCAAAATTTGGATGCTTGGCAACGGACTCATTTTTTCTGACAGTTGCAATGTCCCAGGGTCAAGTGATTCCCTTTTGCGACTTTCTGACAAGCAAATGGAGAAGCCAGATTCACCCATGTTGCTAACTTAACAGCTGCAGTGATTCACTTAATAACTGCGGCAAGAAAGGTCGTAAAATGGGGCAAAACTCACTTAGCAAATATTTCACTTAGCAACATAAATTTTGGGCTTAGTTGTGGATTACCAGTAATGGTGACCCAAAACACCTGGAGCACTGCTCTAACACCATTGGCATTGACAAAATCACTATTAGTCAATTGAAAAGTGCTGTTTTATTATATCCTAGTGATCCCTTTAACACTTAAAACACTTATGGTGTTATAAACTATTCCGAGTTACTCAGTGACAAGAGAGGTGGCATAGATGATAGATAGACAGACAGACAGATAGATAGATAGATAGATAGATAGATAGATAGATAAATATAATATAGATATCGATATAGATAGATAGATAGATAGATAGATAGATAGATAGATAGATAGATAATAGAGATATAGATAATATAGATAATAGATATAGATATAATAGAGCTAGATATAGATAGATTGATATAGATAGATGATAGGTAGAGATAGAGATATATAAAGATAGAGATAGATAATAGAGATAGATATAGATAGATGATAGATATAGATCGATAGATCGATAGATTGATTAAAAAGACCACCTTACAATATCTGTCTATCTTAGGTCCTATCCTATCTTAAACTCAATGAGGTGGATATCAATGCCAAATCTAGTCTAAACATCTGGCTGATTGTGCAACCAACCACAATACAGCTAGTCAACTACAACTTACAACCACAACTGAGATTCTTACATCCCTGTTCAGACCAGAATTTATATTGTTAAGGTGGAGGTTAAGTGACTTCAGACCCGATTTTACAACATTTGCAACAGTTGTTAAGTGAATCACAAGGCCGCTAAGCAAATCTGCCTTCCTCCATTGACTTTGTCAGAAGCCAGCTGGGAACTTTACCAAGGGAGATCACATGACCCCCCCCCAGGACAGTACAACTGTCATAAATACATACCAGTTGCCAACGTGCCTGAATTTTGATCATGTGATCATAGGGATACTGCAAACAGTTTTAAGTGTGAGGACCAGTCACAGATCACTTTTTTCAGTGCCGTTGTAACTTTGAAGGGTTGCTAAACGAATGATAGTAAGTCAAGGATTGTCTGTAAAAGAAAACCATTTTTCCTGGTGACTGGTTATCCAACTATGGGTATGTTGGCAGTAACAACCTCAGCTTCAGGAATAAGGACTGACATGATATTTAGGCAAGAAAAACCAAATGTACAGGTATAGTATAGTATAGGGGGTACCTTGCTCAATAGTAGTAACTGTGAGAGGGATCTCGGAGTCCTAGTGGACAATCACCTAAATATGAGCTAGCAGTGTGCTGCAGCTGCCAAAAAAGCCAACAGAGTGCTGGGCTGCATTGACAGAGGGATAGAATCAAGATAACGTGAAGTGTTAATACCACTTTACAATGCCTTGGTAAGGCCACACTTGGAATACTGCATCCAGTTTTGGTCACCGCCATGTAAAAAAGATGTTGAGACTCTAGAAAGAGTACAGAGAAGAGCAATAAAGATGATTAGGGGACTGGAGGCTAAAGCATATAAGGAACGCCCTGAGTCCTACGAGGAGAAGGGTGGGATATAAATCCAAATAATAAATAAATAAATAAATAAATAATAAACGGTTGCTAGAATTGGGTATGTCTAATGAAAAGAAGGACATGATAGCAGTATTCCAATATCTCAGGGGCTGCCACAAAGAAGAGGGAGTCAAGCTATTTTCCAAAGCACCTGAAGGCAGGACAAGAAGCAACGGATGGAAACTAATCAAGGAGAGAAGCAACCTAGAACTAAGGAGAAACTTCCTGACAGTTAGAACAATGAACCAGTGGAACAACCTGCCTCCAGAAGTGGTGAATGCTCCAACACTGGAAGTTTTTAAGAAGAAACTGGACAGCCATTTGTCTGAAATGGTGTAGGGTTTCCTGCCTGAGCAGGGGGTTGGACTCGATGACCTCCAAGGTACCTTCCAACTTTATTATTATTATTATTATTATTATTATTATTATTATTATTATTATTATTATTATTATTATTATTATTATTATTATTATTATCTTTACAGAGCCCAAAACATTATTTGACCGCAATCAATAATTTATCAGCTCCCTATTGTCCCCCCATGCATTTATCAGTCTTCTAGATAGTCCTATCAACCTTTGAGTGGTTAATATTAACCACTTTGGGGAACACTGAGGTATGCCAGGCCATCAGAACACAGGTGACATCATGTCTCCCCCCCATCTCTACACAAGTGAGGCCATATCACAAATGAGAAGAAAAAAAGGAAGGCTGACATCTTTTCCCTGGGTGTTTTAATTGATATTACAGGTGGTCCTCAACTTGCGACGACAATTGAGCCCAAAACTGATGTTGCTAAGTGAGAAATTTGTTAAGTGAGTTTTGCCCCGTGTTACGACTTTTCTTGCCACATTTGTTAAATAAATCACCGCAGGTGTTAAGCTAGTCACACTGTTGTGAAGCTAACCTGGCTTCCCCACTGACTTTGCTTGTCAGAAAGTCGCAAAAGGGGACTGCCTGACCCCAGGATGCTGCGACCGTTATAAATATGAGTCAGTGGCCAAGAATCTGAATTTTGATCATGTGACCATGGGGATGCTGCGGCGGTTGTTAAGTGTGAACAATGGTCATAAGGCACTTTTTTTCAGTGCCATTGTTAACTTCAAATTGTTGTAAGTCGAGGACTATTTGTGTTTTAAAGAGATAATTTCTATCTTAAAATGACAGTTTTCAGCAATCCAGGACAGGGATGTAAAAATCGAAACAACCCTAAAAAGAACAACTGTCTTTTCCCATTGAAGTCAACCATCAGGACTGGAGTGTTATGTTTTCCTACGCCCCTTAATACCATTAAACCAGTCTTCCCTATTTCGGAAGCTCTCTGGAGGTGTGATTTCCAGATTGCTCCCACTGGCTAGCCATGGCTAAGAATTCTGACAGCTGAAATTCTCACACATCTGGAAGATGCCCAGATCAGGGGAACAGGGCACTAAAATCTGAAGAAACGTACCAGTTGCTCAAGAAAGTTTTAATAAATTGCATTAGTTGGGAAAACTGATTGACTGGAGATGTTTACTGTGAGTCGACTACAGCAATCAAACAGGATGTGGTGGGGGATGGGTAAGCAGGAAATGGCAATAAAACATTCACAAGGAAGTCTTTTGGCTTTTGTAGAAATTGTGTCCAATCGGATGGGAAGACAGCTTTAGGCAGCATTTAAGTCTTCCCCCCCACCTCCATCCCCTCCCCACTTCTGTCGGACAGGCAGGTATTCAACAGGTGGCACCTTCCCTAACCTCACTTGCCTTCATGGACCCTAAAATAGAACACAGCAGGAACTAATGCACAAGAGTTTTGCGAAACAGAGCAAACCCCAGTGGTCGCCCCTTCGGAGCTGAGATGGGAGCCTGCCAATGCGAGGGAGCTGCAACCGGGAGCGCTCATTGCAGGATGGCTGCTGCGCCGGCCGGCTACAGCGCAGCGACCCCCTTCAACGGCTCGCCCTCGCCCCTTCGCTCGGATAGCCACCTTCCCCGCTCCTACTGGGCCGGGCGCTCACCGATGCTGGGTCCCAGGTCGGTGAGTATGTCTTGGCGCCTCAGTAGGCGCAGCAGATCCAGGAGGCGGCCCACCGTTGCCCCACCGGGGCTCCGCGCCTGCCAGTCGTCCAGCAGGCGGCCGGTGGGGTTCGGCTGGGCCTCGAAGTGCTTGATCTCCAGGTATTCATAGCCCAGCTCCTCCGCCAGCGTCGCCCAGTCGGCCGCCACCGGGGCGCGCGGGTTGAGGAAGAGCGCCAGCCGGCGCCGCACCGAGTGATTCAGCGCTACCAGCGGCAACGCTGCGCTTTCCGGCTTCTCCGTTTCGTCCCCGATGCGCCTGGTCACCACCTCTCCCGCCATGGCCGGCCGCGGCTGGGTCTTGCCTGGGCTCCTTGCTCAGACGGGGGCCGCTTTCGCAACACCTCCGACGGCGAGAGGCGGAGAGATGGCCCGCGTCCAACCAGTTTCGCTTTGGGCGCACGGCGGCTCTGGGTTGCGCCGCTCGCGCAGCTGGGGAAGCAAAGCAGCTGCAGGACAGACGGGAGTTGAAGTCCGGGGACTTTCCCGCGAGGAGAAGCCAGCGAAGGCTTCCAGATGTAAATGAACTACAACACCCAGCATCCTTCGCTCCGATGAGCTGGCTGGGCTGGTAGCGAGTGAAATTCGCGCCGTAGCGCAAGAGACAGAACAGAATAACAAGAGAGTTGGAAGGGAGCTTGGAGGTCTTCTAGTCCAACCCCCTGCTCAGGCAGGAAACCCTATACCATTTCAGACAAATGGCTGTCCAGTCTCTTCTTAAAAGCCTCCACTGATGGAGCACCAACAACTTCTGTTGGCAAGTCGTTCCACTGGTTAATTGTTCTCACTGTCAGGAAATTTCTCCTTAGTTCTAGGTTGCTTCTCTCCTTAGTTAGTTTCTACTCTATAGAACAGTGGTTCTCAACCTGTGGGTCGGGACCCCATTTGGGGTCGATCGACCATTTCATGGGGGTCGCCAAGCAAGGCTGTCCACCATTTTTTTTGTCCTCCATTTTTTTTGTCCTCCATTTTTTTCCCCTTTTCCGGCGGGTGCCTTACCTCCCTTGGGCTGGGCCAGCTGGTGGTCGGCCTGCTCCGTCTCTGCCGCTTGCCAGCTACGCCTCGGCCGGCGCAGGGGGCGGAACCACGCATGCGCGGCACTCCCGGGCAGGGAAAGTCCTCGACTTACGACCGGTTGGGTAGTCCTCGACTTACGACCGGTTTAGTCCTCGACTTACGACCGGTTTAGTCCTCGACCTACGACCGGTTGGGGTCGTGGCATTAAAAAGGTTGAGAACCACTGCTATAGAAGAAGAATCCTTCTAAAAGATCCTTCTTTCCACCGCTGGTGCCAGGGAAATTAAAAGAAAATAGAGAATCGCTCCTTTTATTTAATACACAATCTCCCTTTCCTTAAAAAGAATGATTTTGGTGGAAATTGGCATTGAAATATAATTTACAGTTGGAAAGCACATTGCAACACATGTGAATTCCACAAATCTGCTAAGGTTGACAGTTCAAAGCTCTCCAGAAACCCCCTGGAGGCATTTTAAATCAAGCCTAACCAGGGTTTAAGCCAGGGGTAGGCCACCTTGGCTCTTTTATGACTGGTGGACTTCAACTCCCAGAATTCCTGAGCCAGCCATGTTGAGGGGAAAGGGAGAGTTTCCAAGCTGAGCCATGCTGGTTCAGGAATTCTGGGAATTGAAGTCCACGAGTCATAAAAGAGCCAAGTTGCCCATCCCTGGTTTAAGCAAACCAGAGCTTAGCTGGATTGGGTCAGCAGAACTGAAAATAGGACAATGAAGTAAACTGAGAAGTCTTAGTCTTCAATTTAATGAACACTCTTTTTCTTTTTCCAAGGCAGAATGACAACTTAAAAGCCTTTTTTAGGCTTCCTCAAAAATCTACCTTAGACTTCTGTGGATCCTGAATGCCTTTGATCAGGGGTCTCCAAACGTGGCAACTTTAAGACTTGGGGACTTCAACTCCCAGAATTCCCCAGGCAGCCATGCTATCTGGGGAATTGTGGGAGTTGAAGTCCAAAACTCTTAAAAGTTGTCAATCTTGGAGATCCCTGCCTTTGATAGATGCTTCAAGCTTCAACCTAGATGGGGTGCTTATAGTTGTTTGAAACCATTCTTTGAACATTTTGATTGTCTACTTCAGAACTTTCCTCTTCCAGGCTTTTCAAGGAATCTTGAAGCCATTTTTCGAGAACTGGTCTAGCTTCAGTAGAAGATAAAGAATCCTTCTAAAGATCCTTGAAGCCATTTCAGTGTGTTCTCCACAGATCCTTCAGGATATTGCTTCCTGAGTCTCTCTTTTGATTTTTCAAGCAAGCACCCCCCCCCCCCTTTCTTAGGCTGCTTTGGACTTTTGTATGCTTCAAGCCATTCCTGTACATTCAGATAGCGTGCTTCAGGTCCTTATTCTTTGAGATGATTTATGGACATCGCCAGCCAATTGTCCACATCTTCCCTGGATGCTTCAGGAGATTCCTTCTGAAGATTTATCAGGAACGTTTTAAGCCATTCTGCCAGGGTGTGTTTTGATGCTTTATTGGAAACCTCTTTTAGGTTTTTCAAAGATTCCTGAAGCCACCCCAGTAGGTTTTGCCTGGATTCTTTGGACTTTTTGGTTTTCAGGTTGTCTATAGAAGCTTTAAGCCAGCCCTTCTTTAGCGTATTTTCCAGCAATTGAGATTTCATCTTTTCCAGAGTTTTTTTTTTTCTTATCTTCTGGCTTTGTTTGCCAGATACTCCCAAAGCATCTTTTTTGTTGCTCTCTACTCAGAAGTGATATTAACTGGTCTCTATCCATCAATGATCTAGAGCATGGATGTCAAACTCACATAGAATAGAATAGAAATAAGAGTAGAATAGAATAGAATAGAGTAGAGTAGAATAGAATAGAATAGAATAGAATAGAATAAGGATTAGATTAGATTAGATTAGATTAGATTAGATTAGATTAGAATAGAATAGAATAGAATAGAATAGAATAGAATAGCATAAGGAATAGAATAGAATAAGGAATAGAATAGAATAGAATAGAATAGAATAGAATAGAATAGAATAGAATAGAATAGAATAAGGAATAGGAACAGAATAGAATAGAATAAGGAATAGAATAGACAGTGCTTTTTTTCTAAAAAAAAAAAAAAAGGTGCCGGAACTCACACACATCATACAACCCGCCTTGCCTACACTACAAGGTTCCATCCCAAAAAGGTGCTGGAACTCTGTTCTGGGCGTTCTGTGACAAAAAAAAGCCCTGAGAATATAATAGAATAAGGAATAGGAACAGAATAGAATAAGGAATAGGAACAGAATAGAATAGAATAAGGAATAGAATAGAATAGAATAGAATAGAATAGAATAGGAATAGAATACAAAATGTAATGTAATAGAATACAATACAAAATGTAAAGTAATGTAATAGAATAGAAGTAGAATACAATACAATACAAAATGGAACAGAACAGAACATATTTATTGCCATTGTATATCTCACAATAAAATTAAGTGCTGTTCACAGTGCACACTACATACAAGTAAAAACCACAAATAAAAACATACATTATATACATATCCTTCACATTCTATTCACCTTATGGGAACAGATAAAGGCAGGTTAACATGCTTGGAGAGCCAGAAAGTTTTAAAGATGGTGAAAAAAAATTCATCTCTTATTTCCCTCCAACAATTGTTCCAGGCAATGTAATTCAACTTAGAAGATTGTATAATGAATGTCCAGGGGAGAAACCTAAAGAGAATTTAATATGAAATTATGGAGAAGAAAGTCAGGGTTGCTATCTAAAAAATTATCACATGCTCAGTTGCTCATCAAACTTATTTGCAGGTGGAGACCGATTCCTACAAGCTCCTTGTTCTCACATTGGACCTTATCTCTGTCTGACAACAGGTCACAAATTATCCTCTGCTGTTCGCAAAATATCAAGATCAGGCTGAAATTAGCCCCTTAAGGTTTTTCCTTGAATAATCAAACTTGTTTAAAAAAAAAATTAAGTCAAAAACACCTCTTGCTTCCCCCAACACTGTTCCAGGCAATGGAATTCAACACAAAATATTGTATAATGCAGTGATGGCGAACCTTTTAGAGACCGAGTGCCCAAACTGCAACCCAAAACCCACTTATGCATCATCGGGTGCCAGGTGGCCGTGGCCCATTGGGTGAGCTTGGCTGCAGTGGTAACAGCAGACTGGGTGGGACTAAAAAGTTCAATCAATCAATTCCAACTTTGCAAGATCTTTTTTTCCCCGCGAGAAGTTGAAATTGATGATTGAACCTTTTTTTTTTTACACAGCGGCAGCGAAAAGGTTTTATAAAACCCAGCTGAAGGCCTAGGACTGGGGCAACAGCACGCATGCCCACAGAGAGGGCTCTGAGTGCCACCTCTGGCACCCGTGCCATAGGTTCACCACCACTGGTATAATGTATATCCAGAGGAGGGAGCTAAAGAGAATTTAATAGGAAACTGGAAGAGAAAATCAGGATTTCCCCTCGCCGCAGGGAGACGGAACCGCCTAGATGGTTCCGTCCCAGGCGACTGATGGACCCTGAGAGGTTCCTGACGGAGCTTGGGCCTTATCCGGAGGATCTGGTCCACGACTCGGCGGAAAATCAGGCGGCGGCTTGGGAGACAACTGCCGCCGCAGCATTGGACCGAGTCGTGCCTTTGCGGCCTGTGACCCGACGTGGATCTCGATTGGCTCCCTGGTTTACCGAGGAGCTGAGAGAGATGAAACGTCGGAAAAGAGGCCTAGAGAGCCGTTGGAGGGCCAGCCGAACCGAATCCGACCGAACACGGGTTAGGATACATGTTAGATCCTACCTAGTGGCGATGAGGGTGGCTAGGACTAACTACTATTCCTCGCTCATCGCGTCATCAGATAATCGCCCGGCTGCCCTCTTCAGGGTGACCCGCTCTCTCCTCCAACTGAGGGGAGGGGGGATCCCCTGGAGGGGAGG